TCGACCTGGGATGATGAAAATCCTCAGTGGCTAGACGCGTTTACGCCGTCAGACCACACCATCGAGGAGGACGAGAAGTAATTTTTTAGCATTGTTTTATCTAGTTTTATTTTGAAGCATCATATGAACTGACTTGTGGCTTGGAGACTATGCTATGAAACTTGAACTATGTGTTGTTTCATATTTTTTTCGTATGTGTTGCTTTTAAAAAAAATCCAAGCGCCGGCTGGTTGCGCATGCTGGAGTTTATCGCACCTGTTGAAGTGCTACAGCGGCGAGCTAAATTTTCCAGCGTCTGGTAAAGCAACCATCCTTCCCGTGCGCTAAAACGCTATTTCTTTTAGAGCACCGCGCTACCGCGTGCCTGTTGAAGATGCTCTAAATAGGGCCCTGCTTGCGCTGCCCACAGAGGATCCGGAGGAGGAGCGCGCACGGGCACGGCCACTGGTTGTTGGCGGGCGGGTAGCCCAAAACCAAAACGCCCCTGTCTGTCTGTCTGTGTGGCAGTCAAGCGTGAACGCCGTGAGTAGCCGTCCCGTCCGTCGGACGACAGCTAGTACTGGTGCCAGGAAGCCAGCGCGTCACGTCACGGGCACGGCTGAAAGCCACCGTCAAGGACGCCAAGGAAACGGGAGTGGCTTCCAAGGCCACCGTTTTTCCTTTCTGCTAGTAGCACCAACAGCCCGCCCGCCCACGCCACGGCACAAGCACAGCCAGAAACCACCAGATAACGCAGCGCACGCGGCCAAACCGCACCGAGGCAGAGCGAGCGAGCGAGAGATTGGGAGGAGCTCCGGCAGGCAGGCAGCGGGAAGTCGAGCCGAGGAGCCACCGGAGGTGAGCTGAGCTCCTGGCCATTTCGTCCGTGTTAGACGCCGGATTTCTTCTATAGCTGATGTATATTTGCGCTCTTCTCTTGAGCTGCAGAGACCTGCCGGCCGGAGAGCATGGAGGAGCCGTCCATGGCCGACCCGCCGCGGATCTTCTGGAAGTCCAGGAGGAGGCCGTCGTCAGGTAGGGGCGCTGCTTCTTGCTGCTTCAAATCCTTTGAGCAAACCTCTTCAACTCTTGAATCCATTCCATCCTGATTTAAGCTGCGCGCTTTTTTCTTTAAAATACAAGATATTATTCCTTTACAAAGAAAGTAACCTGCCCCTCACCTATTCCCCACGCAGCCGTATTGCCGATTTCGGCAAATTTCAGCCCAGATCTATGCTTGTTCTTTCCTGGGGATTAATCTTGAAATTTACTCCTGCCGCCGTTTCTTTTTTGAAATCTATACAAATCGTACACCAGTTCGATTTACAGCTCGGAATCTCCCCCTGTTCCTCGGCTCTTCATTAGCCTCGTCTGCCTCTGCAGAAATTAGCTCCTTCTTTTTTGTTCCTCGGTTCTTTTTAGTTAGGGGTGTTCATCCGTTTTCGGACGGCACCGAAACATTCCAGCAGTGAGATATTGCGTGAGGAAATGGGTTGACGATTGCCACCCCACGGAGACGAATATACAACCACCCATACGAGTAAGAAAATCGCAGTTTCCGCCCACACGTTAGTCACGCGCGCGGCCGTGCAACTGATTCTTTGTTGCATATTTATAATTAATTAATCAACGGCCTCGCGCAAGCAAGGCCGGCCGTTCAGAGCTTCAGACCTTGTTTAGTTTGGGGGTAATTTCTCACAAGGCGGGTGGGTGAGTGCCCCGCTTGCTTAGCCTTGCTTGCCTTCGCCGGCAAGATCTCTGCAGTGCAGGCAGCTGTCAGCACCGCAGGCCGGCAGCTGCAGCTGCAGCTGCTACCCAGTAGAGGTCGTGGTCGTGCGAATATGCTCGCAGCAAGAAACCATATCCCCTTCAGTAACTTTGCTGCTGTTGGGTTGAGCTTTTGAGGCCCCCTCCTCTCAATTTTACTAGTATTCTGCCTTGGGCAATGCAGCGAGATGCTCTCCAGGAGCAGGGGAAGCTTGGCTGTGAGGGCAGAATCCAACGAGGCTGTAATTTCTTCTGAGAAAAAGAGGGCTGCAGTTTTGGTAATACAACTACTAGATGACAGAGGGTGAATGTGATAGGCTGAGATATCTATGGCCTCAATTCTCTGACTTCATAGATAACACCGATTGTTTATTATGGCGCAACCCGAGGCTCGAGAGACGCGCGTGTTTGGTGACCACTCGCGCTTATTTTAGAGTTCATGTCAGAATGTTACAGTAAGTAGGTTAATCTATCTAATGACACTGACCAAATTACCGTTTCTGAACCTGCCAGTGTTGACCAGTAAGCTATCGTGTAAGTAAATCAATGTTTGCTCTTAGTGTGTAACCCATGAACAGATAAAGAGTTAAACTGTTTCCACTATCCTTTCCAGAGCTTCTGAGTGTATTCTTTCTGTAGATCTTGCAGGGAATTCCTTGTATTATACAGTATGTGTTCTAAGCTGTCCCTGTCTATCAGAGCCCTTTCTTGCTTTGCTTCCTAGCAAAGGAGAGTGCATACAGCTTGTTGAAGTACACATCCATGTTCGAAATGTCAGAAAAACTCACTCTCACCTATCATCACTCTGCCAGTAATCCACTGAAGAAGCCTCTAGCTGATCTCTGTGGTCATGTAAATAAACAAGAATCATTTTGGTTGTGTTGATATTAATGCAAATAGGTGGAGGGCGCGGGTCCTTTTATACTATATTAATCAAGAACCATTTTTGGTCGTGTTTCCTTTTCAAGTTATTGATGTCAATGCACACCCATGATTGAAACCATATCCCCTTCAGTAGTTCCCTCTGAACACCACTGGTATTTCTGTCTTGGCGAGGCAATGGAAAGGCTGTTTAGGAGGAGCAGTAACAACGCGGCAATTTCTTAGGACAAAAAGAAGAGGGCGACTGCAATAGACTGAGATATCCATGGTCCACATTGGCTTCGTATAATACCGATTGTTTACAGCATAATGTCAGGCTCGAGACAGGCGTGACCACTCACGTTTATTTGGAGTTGCTGTCAGAATGTTAATTTAATTAGGCCGGTCTGATGATACTGACCAGATAAACTATTTCTGAACCTGCCAATGTTCATTGTTTTTTATATAGCTTCACCATTCATGCCGAATGGTCTGAACCTGCCAATGTTGACCGTGTTAGTAAATCAGTCTGCTCGTAGTGTATAACTCATGAACAGATAATAAAAGGAGAAACTGTTTCCACTTCTATCCTCTCCAGAGCTTCTAAGATTAGTCTGTTAATAGATCTTGCTGGGAATTGCTTTATTATACAGTATGCCTAAGCTGTCCCTATCTATGCTTTGCTTCCTTGTCAAGGAGAGTAGATACAGATTAAAGTACATCCAAGTTCCAAATGGCAGCAAAACTCACTCTGACCTATTACTGAATTACTCCACCAGTTATCCACTGAAAAAACTTCCGGCTGATCATATTCTAATTCTAATGCCAATGGTCATGTATATCAGTCAGTATATATATGCACTGCATTTTTGCTGGGCTAAGTGTACTGACTACTGACTCACTCGATCTGACTTAACAATGTGTATGTTCCAGCCAATGGCCGGAGCTTGCAAGCACAAGAACATAGCAACGAGGCCGCTGCCACCGAAGAGGCAGCAGCGGGCAATCTTCCGGCTCAAGGAGAAGCCATGAAGATTGATGACGCAAATGCAGCAAGCACCACCACAGAGGATGATGCTCATCAGGCAGATCCGATGGCTAACCTATCTGAGAAGCGAAAGGCGCTCTTCGAGCCCCTGGAGCCGATCAATGGCAAGCGCAGCGCTGACATGCTGCTTCCGCCACCGGACTTCGAGCCTACATCGTATCCCAAGGGATGGCTGGTTGGTAAGAAGCGCAAGCTCGTCAATGTCGATGTGGTGGAGAGCATGAGGAGGATAGCGATCCTGGAAATGAACAGAAAGGTTCATGTTCTTGCTAATTATTTGCCACCACATGCTAGCATAATATCATGCTGGGTATATGCCATAATGTTTCTCTCGTAACTGCATACATGATGGAGGCCTGAAATCAAGCATTAAACACTAACTTTATCGTTAACTTAAATTGACCTGTGCATTGTTCTAGTGCAGCTAAGGTAATTAGGCATTTTTGTTATTGTTGCCAAATTTGCATCATAAGTTGACACATATTATCATGTAAAATATCTCGTAAAATGGCGTGGCAGGACCGTGAAATCGGCGGGCTCAATGAACAGCTAGAGGAGGACTCCCGCGTGCTGGAGCTTCTGCAGAAGCAGCTCACGGACGAGCGCAGGAAGCGGTCGGAGATCGAGAAGGAGAACTCCATGCTTCAAGAGCAGGTGTCCATGCTGATGAGCATGCTTGATGAAAACGAAGCCTTCGACGAGGAAGGGGAAGAGGTGCCACCGCCCGACTCCATCGATTAAGCATTTCCGACAACTGCAGGTTCCCCTTTTTAAGAAAAGGCATCCGCAGCACGTCCATCTTTGGGTGCCAATTTGAGAGTATCCCGGAGGTTTCTATTGGTCTCTTGTGTAGAATTCAATTTATATTATTTCGTTTCATGGTTTGCATCGTGTAGGCGAAGGGTGCATGTTTTATTGTTCCTGTTCGTGTCTAGGTTTGTTGCAGATGTATGGAGACATTTGCGACGCATTTTATTTGAAATGCAATTGTGTGTATATGGTATTACGATTATTTTGCCAGCCACTGCAATTCTTTTTTCATATTTTGAAGTGGCCATGGCATCTGATCTACTAGTGTCATAAACAAATGCCCGGAGCGAGAGTGTGGAGCGGAGGAGGGCCGAACAGGCCCTTAGTATCGGCTTGTTGGAGATGCCCTCACAGGCCAACAGAGAAACTACTGAAAGAAATGTAGTAAGAACAGCGAAACGGGGTTGCGCAAATTTCAGTTGTTGCCAAATGAGAGTCGGGTAAGTTACAGACAGGGGACCAAAACAAGTCTCAAGAAGGCACAGTTCCTCATGATCGAAACATTTCCAAATCCGGAGCGCTAACCGGAGTTCTCTCAATCCTCTGCTATGTCGAACAACTCTGACATAGACGGTATGCGGCGATAGAGGTTCTCAAACAGACCCGGCACGGACTCCTTTCTAGAGATAGCAGGCGGTCCTGCGCCGCCATCCACAGTTCTCCCCGCAGGCGCCCATTGTTCTTCGTCTTCGAAACAAAATCCGAGTTCCTCGGCAAAGGCATCATAACCTACTTCGCCTGCAGCAATGGTGTCATTGCGCTCAGGGACAGATACGGTGGATGGCGCAGCGCCTTTCTCAATAAGATTGCTAAACGAGTCCACTCTTGCCAGCAGATATTTCTCATCCGCGGATGGCAGGGCATGTGTATCGCTTAAGAGGCTCTCAGCAATCTCCTGAAATTCTTTCGGCACCTCAGGGCTGGCATGATTGCACAAATTGAGGTTCCTTTGTTCTTGAACAACAATTTTTGCTTGGACATCTGAAGCAGTGGCACCTGAGAAAGGCTTATTGTTAAAGGAAAATAATCTACAAGATTACAAGTGTGGCATGGAAGCCTGCCAGCCTCAGGACTTTGTCTGAAGAAGGGGATACTTACCTATGTTCAATGGCTGATGATGCTTCACCCCATCCCTTTGGACCACTGAAGAAGCATCATATGGTGACACATGATGTGCGAACATGGATGAAGGGCCGGCACTTTCATTTGGGTTTCCAAATATAGAGCTTATGGATCCAATAAATGGAGAATCTGACATGATGATTGGTTGTCGGCTCAGCTCATTTAGTCGCTCGTCACACTGAATAAGCTTTTCAAAATTTCTGCTCAACACACTCGAGGAGCAACGCAAAACATGCCTCCTGCATTCAGAGCATTTATAAAAGTTAATTTCAGCTCAACAAAGTAAATGATAAAGTTGAACAAAACAGAAACAACTAGCAGCAAGGTCTACCAAAAAAGCAATACAAAGGCACAACACATCCACACCATAAATCACAGCGACAACTAATTGCAACTTTCATATTTCAAGACTGATCTTTAAGTGTTAATGTAGAACGTTAAATAATGCACTAGTGCTTCACCTGCACATGATTGCTTGCCCACAAGTGAAATCTGGTGCCGCCAGCCATAATGTATGTTTTCTTGGTTGAGGATGGGTCTCTTGAAAGAACATGGGTGGCCGAGACAACTTCAAAAAGATTGGAAACTCGTTTGAGGCAATAATGATTGATCGATACACAAACAAACAATTAAAAAAAGATTGCAAGAACTAACCATCAGTTCCAAGGTGCCATCTCCCTCCTCAGGGCAAGTTGCCTTTAGAGCAGTAATATCTAACCACTGGACCTCTATCTTACTCTTAAGACCATTGTTCAAAACTTCCCAGACAAGCTTATGCTTTGCATAGTAGCATTTTGCAACCAAATCACCTTCATACTGCGATGTGTACTGTATTAAAAGCAAAAAAAAAATGTTTTGGTTAGGCAGTATTTATGGAAAGCTTCTAAATACTTCTTTCTCATAATAACATATATACCGAGTTAACACAAGGAAATCGCTTACCTCCCAATTACCAATCTTAAGAAAGTTTGCAGGAAAATTTGAAGCTTTTACTACATCTTTCTTTAACGGGGGCTTGGAAACAATATCTTTCATAGCAGAACGGCCCTTGGTAGATATTTCCTTGGTAGAGATTTCCTCGGTAGAGTTTTCCTTGGTAGAGTTTTTCTTTGAAAGACACGTACAAATAAGATCTACAAAAGATGGGCTCTTTTTCAGCCGTAGACCCAGTGGGAGCGGTTCATTAATTATATTGAACATGTCCTGCAAAACATAATCTCATTAGGATCAATAAAGAGATATAGATTTCTATATACATAAACAGCTAATATTATTAATCAAACACTGTATAATTAGATGGAGCGGTAGAGATAATATTAATCAAAACCCATCATATCATATTTTGCAAATTTGCATTGAATAATTAAACACATTTCTCTTTTATGCAGTCAATCAATCAAGGCAAAACATTAACTTCAATACTTAATGTTTATTTTTTCTTCTGATGAGTTAAACTTCCTATTTGAATTCCTCAAATAAAAGACAATGGGTATAATTTGAATTCTACGCCAACGACAAAATCTATCTGTCATTACATTAATATACTAAAACCCTGAACCACACGTCTACATGCAGTGGAGGCAGAAGAAGAGGCGGTGGCTCGGTCATCTCGAATTCCTCAAAAAAAAAAAGATAACGTATATAATTTAAATTCTACGCCAACGACAAAATCTTCGCGCCACCATATAAAATACTAAAACCCCCAACCCCTATCTACCTACAGTGGAAGCAGAAGCGGGGTGTGGATGCGCCGTCCCGAATTCCTCAATAGAGAAAATAACGGGCATAATTTGAGTTCTACGTCAACGACAAAATCTCCGCGTCATCATATTAAAAATACTAAAACCCCAAAGCCCATCTACTGGAAGCACAAACGGGGTGGCTACGCCGCCCTGAATCTCTCAAAAGAAGAGAAACGGATATACTTTGAATTCTACGCCAACGATAAAATCTTCATAGTAAACTACTAAAACCCCATCTCTACCTGCAGTGGAAGCGGAAGCTGAGATGGCTGCGCCGTCCTAACGCGCTTCTGGGTGGCCTCATTCCCGTCGCCTAATAACCCCTCCTCCTCCAAGTTGCCCGCCGGCGACGCACTGGGGGCGACGGCCGCCGCCGTGTGGCTTGCATGCCTCTTCCTCCGCGGCCTACCCCGGGGCTGCACCATGCCGACGCCCCTAAAACCCTGGACCCCAGGAGAGAGAGGAAGGAGCAGGCCGGGATCGGATCAGATGGAGGGAAGGGATGGCGACGGCGGAGGAGGGGGAGCGCGAAAGGGGCCTGTGGCGGCGGAACACGGCGCTGGATCCGGCGCTCCTGGTTATAATCTGGGACGCGGGGACGCGCGCGGCCAGGCTGATGGGGCTCGTGAAGGTTGGTGAGGGACGCGGCGTGTCGCCGATCGGTTTCTTGTGCATCGCCGCACGGAAAGCGCCCCACGCCCGGCGCGCGTCTCGGTCGGTTGCCACCCGCTTGACGTTTGCACTGCACGTACGTCCCTTGTTTTTAGAAAGAAAAGCGCTAACGGTTTGCCCGGGCTACACCACGCAGCTGCTGGTAAGGGTGTGACTCGTCACGTTTGCGTTTGTCCACATTTCTCTCTCTTTTTTAGAAAGTTTGTCCCATATTTCTCTGGATGTACGTGGACGTGGATGCCTCCTCGCCATTTTGCGAGTGTCCAATGGGCAGGAGCCAAGTGGCGGCCACCGGGGGACCCGACGAGGCGAGCCGTGGACGACGATGATGAAGGACCTACGGAGTCGAGACCATGCGGCAAAACACGGGTGTGCTTACCGCACCCTCGAAGGGCGACGCGGTGTCGAGTCACGATGCCGTCTTCCCCGCCGCGATCCGGGACTTCTTTCCCGAGCTCTGTCGCTGCCATTGTGCGCGACAAGGTCGCCACCTACATGATGCTGACACTCGCACGGCGCGCGACGCTCACCGCCAAGGAGCGTACGTACCATGAGCGTCCTTGGGCATGCATCATTGTTGGCGAGCCCCCGAGCTCTTTGGACCCGGGCTCAGAGGAGGAGGAAGAGGAGAGAAGGGGATGGCGGCAGACCCGGCCGCCGAGTTCGCCACTGCCGGCTACAACATAGTGGATGCGGCGTCCGGGGGCAACAACATCAGCCTCCCATCGATGGACGAGCCGGAAGCGCAATACCGACGCGCGCAAGCCTAGAAGGCGGAGGAGGCGCGCCGACGAGCGGCCTAGGTGGAGGACGCAAGTTGGCTGAAGCACATCTCAAGGACAAGCACGCTCATGCCTTAGCCATGGTGACACTCATGATGAATCCGGAGATTGTCGCCGAGAACCACACGATCTTCACATCATTGGACAGTGCATGCACGATCATTTGTCAGCGCCGCGAGACCATTTCTCACGACATCGAATTTGCAGAGTTGTGCGAGGATATTGAAGGTGAAATCACCGACAAGGAGAGGAGGAGCATGCCGGCAGGATATCTTATTTTTTTTGAGAATCCGGCGGGATATCCTTGATGCCGTGCATTCAATTTGCCGCAAATGTTGACGAGGCCAGCCCCTCCGACACGGTGATAATCAACATCTCCTCCGACGAGGAGTACATTTTATCTATATGTATTGATGTTTTTGCTAGTTTAATGTCAATGCAATAGTAATGTACTAGGTAATGAATTGTACTAGTATTCTACATTTGATGTTAATTTAATCTAGTTGTTTAATTATAAAAGGAAACGGTTTAAATATGTGTTTCAAATGAATTTGTGTGGAAAAAAATATGTTCGCATTTTGTAGGGATTAAGTTATAGGGGATATGCTAGATGAGAAAATGTCATTTCCCCTAAAAGTTTTTTTTTTGGAAAAATGGGATAGGGAGAAGATTTGGACTTTTAGGATAGGGGATCTGCTAGAGATGCCCTTAGTATAGTTTGTAGTGATTTCCGATCTGTACTAGAAGTGTTATCTGTATGGATTAAGACATTGGTCTCAATTGAGGGAAACTTGCCTATAAGCTACAAACTCTTGCAGTTGGAGCCTAACAACTTGGATTCCAATACAATATAGTGGAAACAATCAATTATCCCCCCCCCCTCTTTGATACACCGCTCACGGTATTACAAGTGGCCCTCAATAAGTGGACATTGGTGGGCCATCCTGCAAATTTGAAAGAAAAAAATCTGACTGTTAGTTCAATTGATTAGTAATAATTGCAGCAAATAAATCATATGAATGAATCCTAAAAGTGACTGATGAAGTAAAAAGGCACTTGTGCTATGCCCCATAATATAAAGTGTGTAGTAAGTGGTTTTTTAGGCAAAGCCATTCACCGAGCTTTATTAGTTAGACAAAACAGTTACATCTCTCATGAGACACTCCAGAATGAAACTCAGGGGATTAACATCTAAAAAAAAAGAATTACGCAAAGAAAAAAAATCATACCAAGTTCATGTGCCGCCACATTGACCTCTCTATTACAATACTCAATTGAAATCATATCAAATCCAGTCCACTTGATATCCCAATCATCATATATGGCTGACATCCTTCATCGTTGACCACCTGCATGCAGTAAATGAATAGCCGCTAATATGTTGTGCAAGCATCAAACCTTCTATGAAAGCATATGATTCTGTTAAGCAGTTTAATAACATGTATTTTAAAACAAAGATGTAAGCAATCGTCCAGCTTTAAACTAATAAAGCCCACTAAGGCAGAGTACAAATAACCTCGTCCAACAAAATAAGAGACATGAACAAGTCTAGGTGAAACGAGCAGATAAGTCAAGTAAGGTTACAGGGCCACCATCAACAAAAGAAGAGCACCAAGCTCGGGGAATCAGCGGAAGACAGAACGCCCTATGTCGCAACGTTCAACGTCCTGGCAATGGAGTGGATTTGACGAAGCTTTTTTATTGCCTTTTTTTGCGGGGTAGAAGCTTTTTTATTGCCAGCTGCATCCCTTGAGCATCTCGATAATTCCCCAACGACATCCATTACTGCGAATATGCCAAAGCGACTGCAATAGCGCCCCAACGCAACGCCACATAACAAGCTTAAAAGATCCACGGAGATAGGATCTCCAAGCGTTCACCTCTAGACAAAGGCTTCCAACTCATACCCACCGCTTTCCTGACGGTGCCCCAGGCAAAGCAAGCAAGTGGGCATCAAAAGAAAGCATGATTGGCGTCTTCCATGCCGGCACAGATAGCACAATTGCCGTCGGAAGGGCCATTCCGTTTGGCAACGTAGGTTTATTCCTAAACATTTTCCATAGAAAGATTTTGAGTTTGAGCGGAGCTCTGGCTTCCCATAGGCCCCTAGCTACGTCAAGCGTAGGACCCTTGGTTAGCTTAGCATCCAACAACTTGACCGAGAATTGGCGGGAAGCAATGAGGTGCCAAGACACTGAATCCACGACATTAAAAAGGGTAATGTGGGAAAACCTACCGCACAACACATTCCACCGGGCGCTTTCATCAGGTGTGAATGCACGTTGGAACGCAATGTATGGAGGGGAAGAGCGAAGGGCCTCGGCCACCAAAAGGTCAGGGATTAACCACAAGAGAAAACAGACCCTGAAAATCTTTTAAAGCGGATCTAGACCAATCTAAAAATCAAACCAAAAACGGATCAACTTCCCATTTTTAACCTCGAATTTGGCCCCTGGGGCAAAGGCTGGTTTCACTGTCTGGATCCCGTTCCAGAACAGTGACCCATGAGCCTTAGACTCGAAAAAAGGAGTCGTGGCCTCGTGGGGGCAATATTTCGCTTTTAGGAGGTCAGCCCAAAGCCCCTTAGCATCTACGATAGCTTACAGACCTACTTGGTCAGGAGGGCTACATTCATAAGTTTGGAATTGAGTTATGAACATGTCAATATTCTTCTAATAACAAATGTGACTGACTCATAGAAATGCCCAGTCAAAAATGTACCCCCTCTGTGTAAACAAATGTAAGACATTTTAGGTCACTACTTTAGTGACCTTTTCGAAAATGAGGATTACCCTCGGTCTCTGCATCAAGCGATGCATACAACCATACTACTTTAGTGACCTAAAACGTCTTATATTTGTTTACATAGGAGTATTTAACAAGTCGGCTGATTAATTCTAATGGTTTCCTGAAGTAATTTCCAACTATGTTATAACAAGTTGAGGTATAAATCTTCACGCAAAAAAAGAGGGCTATACCTATGAAATATGATTTGAGTTTTTACTTGTTGGCATCCACAAAGGTGAATCATTATATCAGAAATATGACAATGGTATTAATCTAACACCTATCCATTCCATGCTACTAAAGTGACTAAGCAAGAGAACATGTCATTAACAGATTTCATGGGAAAGGGACGATAGGCAATCATTACCGGAGACAACCTACTCTTAATTCTTTCAAAAAAAACAACCTACTCTTAATCGATACAATATCAAGCAAATACGACCAAAATTGGAGGTGCAACCAAAATAAGGAGGGGCTGTGGTGGACAGTACCTCTACAAACATAGAGGAGCCTAAATCCACATGCCCATTGGTCATTGCCACATCTCAACGTCGTAAACCTTGGCGGTGAAACCTCTGACCTCAACGCCTTTTTGTCCAGAGTTAACCTTTTGGGGAGGGGTTATTTTTGGTTGAGTCTTGTCAAAGGGGTCACAATTAGCATAAATGTACAACATTTATCAATTTACACGGCTAGCTGATGCTGCTGGGTTGGAAAGACCATCTCTGCCTGACAAAACAAGCTGGGGAATAATGAGCTTTGAATAAGACCATGCAGTGAAGACATCCTTTGATGCCTGCTAGCTAGGGTCCATATAATTATAGCACGCACCCGCTGCCAACGCAACAAAGGGGTTGGGAGATCGCTGGATTTGAGGGCCATGAGTTGAGTTGAGTGCCATCTACAAACAAATATTCCCAAATACTCACAATTTTAGTGCAAAACAAGTGTATATGTGACAAGAGGAATTTAAACCCGGCGTGCAGACAATGGTGACTTGAATGAGACTCCCGATGGAATGGCCCGGAATAAAGTCTAAAATAAGATGGCTTGATCAAGTAATGCCATGATTGGGACACACGCACACACGATGCAGCATCTATGCCATGCTTAATTACGCTTGCTCGATGGTGCTAGGAGCTAGCTCTACAAACACACTTCCTTAGCTAGCTCTATAAATACAC